CTTAAGACGAATTATTCTTTTTATCCTTTGCATTGCACTCGTCGACACGTCCCGTCACACTGACATATCGAAACGACACGGTGGATGCGGAACATCTACATAAACATTGATGCACTTTTTATTTTCACGAGACCGAACGCGCGCTACAGCGCGCTGTAATTGTAATCATAATTGAAAATCTCAAAATTAAATTAATCATGAATTAATTTCATTCGAGAATAACGATTGAAGCCATACGAGATATCTTCAACGCAAATAAAAAAGAAAGAGCAAGAATGTCTTGCTCTCTTCCTCTTCTTCAGTAAAATTTGTAAGAAACTGTGTAACGACGCCACGAACTGAAATTAATAAAAATGTCCTGAATTTTCCTTGCCGAACAGACAGAATACTAAAGGAACTACTATGTGAACCTCGAAACGAAATAATGTTGAGCAATATATTAATTACTACTCTGTAAATATGCTAATTGTCTCGACTCTCAATTGTACAAGACTGTATGGCCTAAACGATGAATAAATTGAATTGAATTGAAAATTAATCATGAATTAAATTTGCCGCCTCGGACGACTGGAACCAATGAGGAATAAGCGTGACAGACTTGCGAGATATCGATAGTTATCAACTTTAAGTGTATGTTCTTTTTAGAACAGGAAAAGCGATTTTAAGGACGGAGAGAAAATGTTCAGTGAAAATTACGAAACTCACAGTTCGCTCACCGATTACGCAATCGACTCAGCACATTTAAGTGGCGGTATCGTAATTTTTCATAGGAGATTCAGATAAAAATTATGGGACGCCCCAGAAATATTCTGTGACAGTTCCGCAAAATTTCCTACAACCACATTTTACTCCGGAATTATGGAACAGATACGTAATTTTTATTGAATATTTCTCTCGGTGTGTTTCTCCAAAATCGCAAGTTCAAAAAAAAAATTATTTGTGTTCGAATGATATGAAAATCAATTAAAAAATTTGATTTTTCGGTTCAATTATTCTGCGAAAATTGGGAAAAATCAGAAAAAATTCAAAATTCACGTCATTTTGTTTCGGAATATGAATATTCACATCATTATAATTATAAATATATTCATAATACCCATAAAATTTAAAATTTCATAACCATTTATCCCCGAAATCGGATTCAACGTCACTCTCACTAGAATTGCCACCACATTTTCCCCAAAATTAAAAAATAAAACACAATAACTAATGCCGCGTTTATTATCCGAAACAATTCTCCGCAAATTTAATTTTTCAACAATGTTTCCCTCTTCCCCATCACCAGCCCTCTCACGTTACCCGTACCGTCGGCACTCGCCGCTGCCGTCGGCATTCTCCCGCAAGCCCCCAATCTCTGTCAACAGCGATCGGTAAGACAAGACATTCGTCACGTGTCAGAGAGTGCCAGCGAGATGAATAAAACAAGCCCTCAAAAAACCTCAGCCCAAAGCCCCCCCTTAAAAAAAAAACTGAAACATTACCCGAGACATGAGTCCCTGATTGATCAAAACGCTCACTAAAATCTCCGTCGTGAGATACTAATAATTTACAACGCGCGTAAAGAAATACGAGGGGTAAAAAAAAAGGCGCGTATTATGTGTATCTCCGGGGTTCACGGACGCGACGGGCAACCAGTCGGCAGAGCGCGTCCCGAGACACAAGTTTACTTTTATTTAAACATTTATTCGTTTTATTTAGGGCCTGACCCAACGCCTCGTCCCCGCTTTTGCATCTCTGCCAACGGAGCGGTTGACCGGTGTCTCCGCATCTAAGTTTTTCCTTTTTTTCTCCTCTTAATTTCCCCTCTCCCCCGCCCCCCTTTTTCATCTTTATTTCCCCTTTTTTTCCACCCAGCCCAGAAACCCAGGGAATTAATAGCCGAGAGCGTATTCCGGCGGTGTCGGGGGGGACGAATACACGAGCGCGCTTACACTCGCCTCGTACAGCGGTGCGGAACGTTAAAAACTCTCCGCGGACGATCAACCCGTTTTCTCACGGGTGCGCGCCGCGCGCGGATAACTCCCTCATTCTCCCTCTCCCTTCACCATCCCATCTCACTCCTCCATTCCCTTTTATTTCTCCTCACCACTATTTTTTATTTTTTCTCAAACTCTTTCGTGGCATCTCTCCTTTCCTTTTATTCCGCATATTCGCGTGCACCGAAAAACCGCACCGCAAAGCGCGCGCGCACACAAGACGGAGAGAGACTCGAGCGTGCTTTATTGCTGTAAAACGCTGAAAGTTCGGCCTCTGACCGCAGATACGTGTGTGTAACGCACCGGTTCCTCCACCCCAGAATGGGTGGAGAGGGGAATTAAAAATATATTATCCCAGGAGGGGGGAGGAGGGAGTTACTCAGAAATTCAATCCCATATTAATCCCCCTAATTATCCAATAATTCACGAGACACCATTATCATTAATCCCATTTCTCTCTCTGTGAGCTCCGGATACACCGCAACTTAGTAACAGTTACGGATGCAGTGAACGATAATTAATTGTATGTCGATCCTTTGAGATTTCAATCGCTTGACAAACAGCGGATATTCGATGCAGCGCCATTTCGCAACAACTGATTTACCACAAAACGGAAGGGAGGCTCATTGTTTTCGAATTTTCAAGTAATTATTTCAGAATATTATTTTTTCCGTCAGATTGGTTTTTTTCCCATCACGTGCGAGTGTCAAATTATTGTCATTTCATGTTTTTATAATTATTGAAACAATATGAAAAGGCGTCAGAGACATGGCAATGCCGCACGGATCGTTCCTATGATTATGAGGTTACAGAGACATCCAATTTCATTTTTTTTTCTCGATTTCGAGACCGAGAAAAAATACGAAAAATTTCCCAATGATGCGTCATACACAGACAGTTCTCCCCTCAATTTTTCAATTTTTTTTCATTACTTTGATTTTTCACCCGAAATACCTTAAACGGGATCAGGACGCGATTAAAACCCGACAACTGTCTGTTCACACTTCATCCCCGTGAATTTAAACTTCATGAAGACATTAAGTGTCGAGTCAAACGGCAAACAGCCGAACGGGAGATAGACATGTGGCAAGAAAAAAAATGAAAGAGTAAGAAATAATAGGGAGCACACACCGGTTGTGCAAAACGCCACTCGACACCCCGTTGCGCGTTGATGCGGCCACCAGGAGCACGCCTGACCTCCCGCCAGACGTATTAAAATGACGCACTGTAGAAGCAGTTTCGGGGAAAAAAAAACAAAGTTGAGACTAGTCAGGAACCAGAAAACTATTTCAGGAGACCGGAGGCATTTTTCGAGTGCTTCGTTTAACCCCTCCCCTCTTGTTTCCAGCCCCGACGGTTAGACGGATTTTCCTTTTTGCCTGCGGGGCTGGTGGAATGTTTTGTAAACACCATTATCGGAGAGTCAAGTTTCAATGGATTGTTTTAGGGGCGATGCTGACGATTTAATAAGTTTATTTGTTTGTTTTGGGAGATCTGTCCAAACATCATCATGATCCTTTTGGAATGATGATGGTGGGAAGGTGTTAATCGGATTAGATGGGCTCTAATATGGGCGGTTTGTTTGAGGGATTATAAAGCTGAAACGGAATACGTGATGGTTTAAGAGTCAAACAATCGCATGAGGAAATTTTTACAAGTGCAAACGAGTTTGCGTTTGAAGTCAAAAAATTTGTCCAGTCGATTGTCAATTCGAGTGTGACGATTGCGCATAATGCTCAACATAAAAGAATTATTATTGTTATTTGAAAATGCGCCCAATTATTGACTTGTAAATTTAATAATTCTGTTATTTGAACGAACTTTTTAGATGAAAAAAAATGTTCCTGTGAGTTTAAGAGGTCAAAACTATGCTTTTCCCAATTTCTGAAATTTCCACTTATCGGAATTACTGTGGAAATTACGGTTCATTGTTTTCCGCAGTATTTACCATGTTTATTTACACAATAAATGCCAAATAGTCAGGAAAATTATTATGAAAAACAAGCTTTTAATTTTTTTCGGGGGGTTCATTTGCCCTTCCGTCCCCTACTCAGTCTGCGCAGCATAATCTACTGTTTTCACCATTCAAGACTCCCTACCTCGCCCACACACCCCTAGATTAGCCTAAATCATATCTAGTGTGGAACGTGCTTCATAAGAAACTCGTTGGAAAGTGTTCAGAGATACTCAAGCTTCAATAGATTATATTTCATGGGTTTTAGAATTAGTGTTGCTAACGATTTAATAAACTTATTTGTTTGTTTTGAGGACCTGTCCAACCACGATCATGATCCTTTTGGAGTGACAATGGTGAGAAGGTTCTAATCGGATTAGACGGTCGGTTTGTTTCGGAGATTATGAAGCTAAACCCGAATATTCAACAGCGGAAAATCCAATTCATGGGATTCTTTCCAGCTTCATTGAGGGATTAATATCTTGTGTGGAACCTGCTTCGAAAGAAACTCGTTGAAGCATTCAAGCCAAACGAATATTATGATCCTCGAAGGTAATAAACTGAAGGCCATCAACTTCATATAAATTATAAACGATGTGTAAAACCATTAACGGAAACTCAACTTCAATAACCGATCAGGAAGTTAACCTTAAAGGGATTCCAGTGGAGAGGACAGGTCACAACTTATTGAAATTTAAATCTATGAAGTGGCCCTCTAGATATACGGGAATCCTCAATCCTAGATTGGTCAACCTATGACTAGCTAACTCTAGTAGTTTTTAGAGCAACATATTTCCCAAAATTCCTAAAGAAAACAAATTATTAAGTATTCTTTCCCCATGTTAAATGAAGTTGCCCATGACGCGACGTTGCCGGAAACTCACTAAACGCGCGTGAGCAATGTAGAGTGAATTTGGCAACGCTAAACCCTAAACAATACGGCGGGGAATCCCCGCGGAGACGACCAAAGTCGCAGGATCGCGTTTGTTGACCAGACTAGGGTTAAAAGTTCCAGAAAGAAACCTTGACAATCCCAATTTTGAGATGTTATCATGAATATCATCACTTACCCTGTCATACTGATGAGTAGCAGTAGCCGAGAACGGTTGAAAAGGCGCTGGCCTGGCGGGACTATGATGAGCAGCATGGGGATTAGCATGTGCATGTGGATGTGATGCAGCATGAGGGTGACTGGGATGCGGGGGCGGCGGTGGCCTCTGATAGAGGTAAGGATAGTATTGATACATCACCTCGGAGCAGCTCATCACACCCCCCGGACCCGGCACCCCAGAGCCGGCCTGCCGACTTGCGTATCCGAACGTGGCACCACCGTAACCACCTTTAACCTCCTCCGCACTCGTATTTATCAGTGATTATCAACACTTGAAGTTAATCAGAAAGGGGTTTTTTAGTTGTGAACACCTCCGAGACACTCAAACTGAAGTGATCATTGTGATGCCTTCACCAACGGAATGCCGGTGGAGACAGCAAAGTAAGTCGATGACGCTGCATTGGAGACCTCGGCAATGATTCACAGAGTCTGATTTATCAGGGACTCCAGGAAGAACAAGATTTCCTGAATTGATTAACTTAAGGGTATCACTCATCCACTAAACTGAAGGTTCATCAATCATCGGATGATGGCTTTCCTTCTTTCACATTGGTTCACTCAACACAAGTCAATCTCCAAGTCAATGAAGAATACTCACTCTTGTCACAATAACACTGCACCAATAAACCAAAATCCTTGGTGGGGAGAAAGTAGTTGTCAATCAAGTGACAAATCACAGTTACACATCATCAATACCTGATATTCAATCATGAGACAATTACCAACATATTAATAATCACATCCTTCAGATTAATCTTACTGGACAGATGTTTGTCACTGGTACAGCTTCTCTGGTGGACAAACACAGACTGAACCTTGGTATCCCTGGTTTGTGTCACCCTCTCTCCCACCGCTTACTCCACGATACTTTTTCTAGTCGGTGTTGCCTTTCCCCCCTTGGGTAGTCTTTTTAGTTAAACCGGCTAGCCCCCTTCAGTAACGTAGTCAGGCAAACGGTGTAGGGTCGAGGACCGCCCGATCACCCCCCCAGTACAACTCTGGGGTTACGCCTCCTGGCAGTGCCAGCCCACAGCCAATCGGAGCAATCCTTGGTAAACGTCCAATGAGACAACTTGCTGCCACTCCTACGCGTCCGCAGTTTCTGTATTGATCCCACAATGAACCCCAGGGCTACCGCACCGGTATTAAGAAGTCCTTCCTTGGGTTTAAATTCATCCCCCTCTTGTACCACTCAACTCGTAGCTCTTTTCGAAATTCACCCTTTCCATATCAGTCTGTACATCTCTTCAGTTTTCTTCACTGGGTTTTAAACCCCCGCCCCTATCTGCGGAGGCTTGGGACATTTTACCTCGTTCACCGCATCTCATTCCACCGACGCTGGATTTTCCTCCACTGCATATCTACCTCTCTTCATTCTATCTACAGCCTCCATCCTTCTCCGTACCCACCGACATTACCCTGACACAGACCAGACACATAATGAGTCTTAATTAACAGTTTAGTGGTGGTGGTGTTGAGCTTAATTTCCAAGTTGGAGAGTATTACCTTGGGGAATCTATTCTTCGGGATGATATTGGAGGTTTCGGTTCAGGTGGGATAACAGTTGATGAAATGGGGGGGTGATTTAAGGGGTCAGAGGAAGTCTAGCAGCTTTTTATCCTGATGTTAGTCTTGATTTTTTTTGCGGATAACGTTGATCCTTCCGTGCAAGCAGATGATCTTTCTTCATTCTTCAATCGATTCTTCCTGATGTTGTTGGAGGTGGCACTTTATGTTTGAGGTCAATTAATGTATCAATGTGTTGATTCAATATGCGAAATGAGATCTGGAATTTCTTTATCGTGATTGTTCGGGTCAATCAGCTTATTCTCTTGATCACTCTTCAAGCTTTCTTGTTATCAAATTCTTGAAAACACTTGTTTGTTTCGAATAAATCCATTTAACATTAACAATTTTTAAATTTAGAACCGACACAGACCAGACGCATCATGAGTCTTAATCAACAATCAGTTTGTGGTGGTGGTTTTCAAAGTCTAAAACTTTTTGCATCCTGACGTTAATCTTGACGCTTTCTTGCAAGCAAATGCTAGTTCTTCCTTCTTCAATTCATTTTTTTTTATGTTGGAGAATGCAGAACATCTGTGATGTCAATTGTAAACTATGTAAACTCTAAACTATCACATTCTCGCACAAGCTGAATGTTAGGATATTAATGATTAAAAACGACTTGTCTGGAACAAATTTGTTGGGCAAGAATAAATTGTTCCCCCAGTGCTTGATTAAACAAAACAATTTTTGACATCAGAACTCACACTATGAATATCACTTTTTCTTCATGACACGATAAATCGTTGTCCTCTTCAATGCCGAACACTTGACCGTGCCAAATCGGTTTTTAACGTATGCCAGTGTGATAATCCAATGTGTAATCTAGCAGGTCCTCGTCGGTGGGGCGCCAAGTGAATCCAATAAGATCCAGTTCAGACAAGCGTGACATTGCACATTGAACTTTTTTTATGTTGTATCCTCGTATTTTGACCTCCCCTCGCTGTTGTCCGGATCAAACGTGAACTCTGCGAGGGGTTTGTCATCCTGCACGTGCGGGATCTCCACTCAACAATACTCGAAGTCGCCACCCCCCACTGCTAATAGTTGAGCATTAAATTTGTCAGTGATATTACGAGTGGGGTGGGCATCAATGAATGGAGCGGTATGATGGTAAATATAATGGTTGGCATTCTATGATAGTACGTAGGGGGGATCCGCGCCTCGTCCTTCGCACCAATGAGCCTCATATGTGCATGATATTCTGTACAAAGGTGAGCTGGAACCCCCTTGGCTGTATTTTATTTGATAATTTATTCTCTGGTGGAGGTCCTTTTAGTCCGGTGAGTTTTATTGTCGGAGGAGAATTTTGAAGAGGCTGGATGAAGGGTTTCTGTCCTCATGGACGGTTTTTGTTGAGCAGTTATGATATATGTCAGGCGACAATAATCGTTCTTCGTAAGTCAACTTTTTAGACCACTTTCGTCAAATTTTCTCCACATTTCCGAATGTTGAACGTAGATTTGCCTATCCTTATACTCTATGGAAAATTGGAGAATACGCTCGACGCCAACTCCAAGTGTCACCGAAAAGGTAAAGATGCTTTCGCATTAGTCTTTCTTTCATCATTTTCAGAATTCTCAAATCTGTAACAATCCTATTTTCCTCATTTCATCTCATTTGTACAAGACATGTATAATCTAAACAAATTAATAAATGAAATTGAAATTGCATCAAAAATCCTCAAGCTTTGAGAGAAAAATCATACATCTGGCAACACTGAATAGTGCCCCAAGAAATGTAGCATCATTGACACGAAAGAAACCCGATATCCGCTAAAAACCTCTCCAGCTTGTCATCTGTTCCCGAAACCATGGGTGTTGTCAAAGCAAATTAACCCTAGATAGAATCAGGTAACTTTCGCACGGTATCTACACTGTATAAGTCCGAGCCAATGTGCCTTTCGCGAGGGCCGACAGTCGAAAAAACAGAAGCCACAACTGGGGTTGAATCACGTTTTTTGACAGTCCAGGCAACAGTAGCCCTTCTGCTTCACTGTATGTTCGAGTCCCACGAACCTCGCGGCAAACGGCCACAAGGATCGTCAGGAATGTCGAAATAGCAAATTAGAAGATTCCACGGAGGACTGAACCAATCTTTTCACTCTCCTCTTACTTGCGGACATCGGCGCGCTCTAAATCGTCAACCACTCGGTGATTCTGTGCGAAACTGCTTTTTAATACTGCAACAACTATTATTCTTGTCTTTGATGTTGTTGAGGGTTCACATAGTTTCATCACTGTTTCTTTATATTAGAAAAATTCGAATCAATTTCTGGCAATAGGAAATCAAGCCAAGAAATTAAGATGAGGAATTAACTCCTAACGCAACTCGGATTCCACTTGCAATGATAAATCTTGAGCCGTCAAATACAATTTGATTTCTTCGATTGAAATTTTGCTCGTTACCTTGTTTTCGGAGAATTGAATAACTATGCATTTTGTCAGGAGATATATCAAACATCCCAGGAGCTGAAAAATAATTAGATATGTCGGGTATTAAGATGAGAATCAAAAGACATGAATAACTGCTGAATAATCAACATAAAGAATGCACCATTGACATCCAAATTTCGATTGAAAGAATTTATTGTTTCTGCATTGTAATGAGAGGTAGAATTCTGCCTAGATCTTCTTATCACCTTGATCATCGCTTAGAATCTATGATAATTGATACTCTATTTCCACTGTCTTCACGCCTCAGCTTTAGCTGCCGCCTCTTTCTTTTCCTCCTCTTGCTCCAAAAATTTATCCCACTTGTCGAGCCTTGCCTCAATTTCTGCATCTGTCTCAGCGATCCTTGAAAACAAAACTATTGTTACTAACCTGCTCCATCGACTGCAGATAAAAATAATTTTATCTTCAGAGTTGCTCAAGGGATAAATGCAATTCATCAAGCAGTGATTAGTTATCGACTATCGATAAGGAAGTATCTGATTGTATCTCACTTGTATTTAGTCTTGCCATCCCATATTTCCGCGGTAATTTTTCTCTGTCCAAACCACCGACCATTCAACAACTGTATGCAAGCCTGCGCTTCACTTGGCTCTCGAAATGTTATCTGGGCAACACCTTCAGGATGTCTCTGCAATCAAAATAACAATGAAGACGATGAAACAATACAACGAAGAAACAATAAAATAATGATGATGTCAACTTATGATGATGCAAATTTGCAATTGAGCAATCACGAGGAGAGTGAGATCTTCAAATTGTTCATTGTTAGCAGGAGCAATTTTTGTTTATTGTTCAGCATTAATGTTATGGATCTAGCACGGACAACGAACTTTTTTTGACGATTCAGCCTCGAACTATTCAGTCCCGAAACAAGAGGCTTCACTGAAAACATTTCAGAGAAGACGACAAAAAAAACAAGTGTCTGTTTTTTTGGCGAGATGCAAATAAATCAGCCGAGAGGGGTGACCTAACCCCATAAATTCGTCCCGACACCACACCCAGTCGTGTTGCGCCTCAACCGTGAATCTCTTCAATGTCAAAGTAAATTCCCACTTGGATTTTTATCCATTCCTTTTAACCGCCTTGTTTTACTTTCTCATCGCCCCTGAAGAGAGGAAAAATAGCGTCCCGTGGACTCGTTTAAATTTTACTCTCACTTCTGTGACTCATTAAAGCGCTGAGCTATTTTTTTTATTTTCTCGTGAGGACGCCGAGAACACAAGTTGATCATCCGCACAGTTTTAATTAAAAGAATAGAAAAATTTGCATAGAAATTGTGAGACGAAACGCAGTGAGTTGACTACTAAACAAGACGCCAAATACATGTGGGCTTGATGGTGCCAATTTCTCAACGACCCAGTGCATAAGGAGTAATTTAAGCATGACGCGTGACTCCCTGAATAAGTTTTTTTACGAGCGGAGACTTTTTTTTGTAATAACAAACTTGTTCCCCGTTTGAATTACAAATTCTCTTATTTATTCTAGATGAGTGTTGCAGGATGACAAACGTTCCTTCAAATTTTTTTCACATTTCACATTTCGTTGAAGACGAAGGAAGGTGTCCCAAGGATGGCGAGAAGGATTATGTGGGTTAAACGTGTCATAAGGGTCAAACGGAAGGGACAAGCTAAAAACTTGACCCTCATGAGTGTTCTGCTCGTCCCTCCTGTTTAACCCTCATGAGTTCTCCACTCATCTCTTCCGTTTGACCCTCAAGGCCGTTCCGCTCGTCCCTCCCGCTTGACCCTTACGATTGTTTCACTTATCAAAAATCAAAGCAAATCAATAAGAGAATATACGGAACTCTACGCTTCATTCAAAGGAAACGAGAGATAGAGGAGACCAAAATCCTTCATCCGGCAACACTGTTCCAGATTCCCCATCCCTAGCTCATTAAATCCAAATAATACTCAGCTGTTTCTCTCCGTTTTTATGGCTGAATATTCTGGGAATAATCAAGACGACTAAGCCCATACACCAACAGAATTACGATAATGAAAATAAACCTGTAACGATAACTCACATCGTAAACCGTGACCTTTCTCACATCACCGCACTTGCTGCATTCAGAACGTATGTCCTGCTGATACTCAAGAAGAAGTGCAACATCCTTATCAAAGTCCTCGGGAGTGAACAAGTTCTTTATGATGACAACACGCTCACACTTCATTGGCTCACCGGGAAAACGATCCGGTCTCCAGTCGAACAACCTGTAAATAAAATCATGATCATCATGATGGCATGTTGGTACGATTAATGTCATACAAACAAGTTTCCACTAGCTCACACATGGCTTTAGGATGATATCACAAAACACTAAGTACCTATAAATTATACTAGTCATATTTTCTTGCGCATCTGAGCATTTATTCATCGCGATGTGAGGGAACAACATCTTTTTATTCGTTGAGAACAATGGGATAAAAAAAATCATGATAAACAGTGGCTTGTCTTCTGGGCGGAAGAAATATAACATGAAAAATTGCCGTGTTAGCATTGTTGTGGAGAGTCATAACAGGAGAACCAAGGAATTGATTTATTTCAACTGACCTAGGTGGAGTGGGGCAAAATGGACCGGTTTTAGTAGTGATTATTTGCAGAAAAAATTGACTTTTTTCCGGGTATTTTCGTAGGATTATTCAATCGATAGTTTAGCATAATGTGAACGACCCTCGGACGATTAAACCGGATCATTTTGATGCGATCGAGACGTCAGTTTATAGACTGTTGACTCAACAGTCTCCATCATGGATCATGAATGATGATGGATATCCAGGGGATTGGTCGTAAATGCTCGTAATGGGTAACGGGGTAATTTTATAATCAATCATTACAACGTTGAGTATCTGAGACGCCTAGATAAGTGAATATGAACGGAAATACCCGCAGTTTTGGACCCAACCGCATCATTTAGTGAACGCTGTTTTATTCAGCAGTAAAACTAGAATGACCGTGATGAAGTCATGCGTCTGGGAAGCTCCGTGGGGGAGTTATGATGTTCTCTCTCAACCGCCGATTGTTGTATTTCTGTTTATGGAAAAATCTGCAGAATTGCATAATTCTACTGATTAACTTTTTCTGTTGAGACATTTTCTGCAGGAATTCTTCAACGTGAATTTTTCAAGTTTTTTAAACTCTATTTTTCCTCTACTTTTAGTTTTATTTAAAGGAGGAACGCGGACTTTTCATTTTCAGCAAATGCCGTCGAAATTCGTTGGGGTAATCGACTAATGAATATGGAGAACAAACAGGAAATTGAAATGCATCCGAATCCATGATGGCGCACATAGGGGTAATCGAGACCGAGCAATATCCGGATTTCTATATTTTTTTGGGGAGAAAAAACAGACCAGATGATGCGGATATCGATTTCAGACACCTCTGAACACATTAATTTCACGTGAAAAACTAAGCGTACAAAAATACGAACTGAACCGCAATTTTTTTCCGTATAAAAATAAAAAGTAAAATGAAATTCTGTATAGTTCTAGCTGAAACATATCAACTCATAGCTAGTCTAAAGATCCACCTTCAATCATCATCGAAAATTGAAAATTCATACAGATCAGGGTTGAAGGGCCAAAGGATGATAAAAAAAATCGTGTGTATTGACATTTCCCCCTAATTTCAGAGAATGCCTCCCCTACCGACCTCTCAACCAAATAAATAGCTTTTCCATAGTATAGTATTTTTCAATACGCCAACATCATCAATTTCCACCCGTAAGGCAAATCTCCCGACATACAGTCTCCCGTTTGAAGAACAGTATTCCCCAGAATCAGAATGGAAAATGCAACGAGGTCATGCCGTTTTCTCTACCGCCAACTGTGCTGAATGCCCGCAGCGACTGATGAATAATCAAACCAAATCATGGAAGTAAAAACAATCTACACTGAAATTTCTCTGTACCAGATTCATCCCAGCTTGATTATACCAGACTAAGTGACACGTATAATCTCCAATTACTTTTAACTAATAACTGCATTCCTCAGCGATTTCTCTGGAAACGCATTCGCAGATAATCAGGGACAAAAATAGATTTGGGATTTCCGTCTGGAAGAATGAGCGAGTATGAGGTTGGAGGGAAAATTTTCAAACTGAGTGGCGAACCACTGGCAGCGTAATGCAATAATCCAGCGGTAAAGTGTGATTAATAGCACCTGCGGTAGGTACGAAATTTCACCTTCCTGCGACCTGAGTAAAAGCTTTCTCGATCCCCGTTGCCAATCCAAATTGATGATAAAGTGCTTCTTGGTACGTATACGGAGATGACAAATATGAATTATTGATGCTGTCTTTTTACTGGAAAAGTGGGGCCCTCCAGGCGTCTTTATTTAAGACACTGCGCACGGAAATGTGTCTTATCGTCTGAATTCGTCGAAACAAGAAGTTTTTTCTGCCTAAAAACAAGACGCTTCGATAGACAAAACATCCCGACAATGTAAAAAATCTGACCCTTGCTCCTGGGTGAAAATGTTTTATTTCGAGATTTCTGGTGCCTCCGAGGGTTTCATTAGCATCAGAATCGTCAGTAAATACAGAATCAACCTTCACTTGGTGAAAAAATTCGATTTTGGCGAAAGTCGACTTTCCCCCGGCAAAAATCCAAGATCTGAGACTTTGGCCCCGGGTGAAAAAAAAAAATTTCGCCACGGCGGGCGGAAAGGACACACATATTTCTTCCGCGAAGCGGGATAGTTGGGATCCCGCTTCGCGAGAGAAAAATCTGCCTTTCCGCCTACGCCCTGACGAAAAATAACGTTCTCACCACGGGAGGTAAAATACAGGACCTTTAGCCACGTGCTTACCACCCGAGCCTTCGGCTCGGGTGGTAATTCTGTGGTGGGCACGACTGCTTTATTTTCCCTCCCTTGGTGGAAAATATACTATTTTCACTCCTACATTTCTGAACCCCATGAGGGTTTTATTGGCATTAGAGGGGCCAATAATTAAGGAATCAACATTCACTTGGCAAAAAAATACGATTTTGGTGAAATTCGACTTCCATGCTGGAAAACGGAAAATCTGACCCTTTGAAAATTTGAAAAAAAAAACTTTTTCCGTTTTCACTTTCTCCACATACTTTCGAGAGTTCTGAATAGCCCGTCGCTTAAATAGTTAGAATCAACCCGGCTAAAAAAATCGATTTCGGCGAAAGTCGACTTTCCCCCGGGAAAACGGAAAATCTGACCCTTTGAAAATCTGAAAAAAAAAACTTTTTCAGTTTTCACTTTTTCCACATACTTTTGAGAGTTCTGAATAGCCCGTCGCTTAAATAGTTGGAATCAACGTTCATCCGGCTAAAAAATTCGATTTTGGCGGAAGTCCACTTTTCCCCGAGAAAAATCCAAGATCTGACACTTTGGCCCCGAGTGAAAATTCAAATTTTTTATTTCGACAGATCTGGCACCGCCAGATAATCTTTAGTACCCAAAAATTGCGGCTGGTGGTGACGCGCGTGTTGTTATGCGCAGATGACCATAACAAGAAACTCCCAAGGGAGTTCGGGCTAGATTGTAGCCCCGGCAGATAACTACATAATGGGCGTTCAAACGTGCAGGTGTGACAAAATAGTATATTTCGTCATTAGGCCGAAAAAAACTTTTCTGGCGAATATGACGTTTGCAGCACGAGCCGAAGGCGAGGGCTACAATAATATTCGTCAGAAAAATTTTTTTTGGCGGTATGACGAACAATATTTCTTGTCATGACGGCCGTAGGCAGAGAAACGCTGCCTTACGGCCGGAATGACAAAAAATATATTCTGCAACCCTCTCTCCTCGTTAGCTACAAATTTCAACCCTCCGCATACAAGCATTCTCCTGCATCCCCTCGTGAAATCTCGATGTCTCAGTAGTATGGAGGACTTCTCAGGGCTGAAAAGAACTGAGGATTCGAAAGGTCTCCGGAAAAGCCCGTCGCAGAACTGATTAGGACTTACCAGGTCAATCTAGGCTTGGAGAGATCTTAAATAACCTGTGTACGTCCAAGCAGAACCATATCCTCGACTCGGGCAGCAATTTTAATTAAAAATGAGACAGAGGAAAAAATTGAGAAATTCTTTCCTTCGTCTCATTCCTAATTGAGATTGCTGTTATGACCGTTAATGGCTGACGAAGCGGAAGTTTTTTGAATATGAATGGGAACGATTGGAATAATTCTGGTGTAAGAAATGAATGAAGATTTGGAAAAAAAATGAGCCATCATAAGTTGGAAACAAAAGATCCACGAGTAAGGCACCTACAATATCTAGAATGCGTGTCCAATGTCTCAACTTGAGTACAAAAGAGGACAAAAGTGTCATTCCAGACGCTAGTTTCTCCAGTATTGGCGAATCAATGCCTACCACCAGTATTTTTAACCTCAACCATAACGGAACATGACAAACAAGTGAAGATAAGTAATTAGACGGGTGCAGTCGACTGGGTAAATAAATTGGGAGGCGTGTGCATACCACGCGAGGCTCGTTTGCATGCACTCTCTTCCTTGTGGTCGGGCACGAACGGACCCACCAGTGTTTCTGACCGTGGACGCGCAAGGGTCCACGCGAAACTGAACAGCTCAAGGTACAACATGCCTCTTATTTCAAGAACGATGAGACGAGAGGAAAAAAAGATGGGAGCTGATGGCGGCTTGGAGATCCTCGAGTATAATGTGCACAGCTGCTTTTACCGAGCACCGCCAAGCAGTCTGGCCAAGAGCTATCCTCTTGATGATTACGGCTCTCCTCGTCATCATGCGAAGAGATTTCCATACCCGAGAACCCACCGGGAATACTAAAATTACATCGTCAATCTTCATTTCCAGAAGCTCGTCAGCTTGTCAACGGGGGTCAACATCAAAGTTCCCGAAATGTTTTGAAAATTCAGTAGCTGTTGAAAGCTACGATTCAATTCTCAGCGCAAGAAGCAAAATAAGTGGGGAATTGACACAACATAGTCAATATATTTTTGCTAATGAATTAGCAATTTAAATTCGAATAAAATTTCTGTGACGATGTATTTTAAATTGAGGTAAATGAGTCATTGTCCCAACGGTGGGGGCCAACATTAAAATTTTTTACCTTTCGCTGAATATTGGTTTTAAAATAAAATTTACCACCGACAGATGATGCAATCAATCTCATAATCGAACTTGATCTAGATGGCATTAGGAAGAATATTGTCAATCACGATTGGATTCATTTAAACAATTATTTCTTCAGTTATCGCACACACACACGTGCGGACATCTTTTAAAAATGCCATATTTGAACTCTTGAGACCGAAATTAATTAGCATGACACATTAAATTGGAAATTTCAGATTTGATGAATACAATACTTCCATTCGGAGGCAAATGGAAAAAAATATCGTGACTTTTATGCTTGGACTGGTACATTCTGACCTTTTTACTCCGGCACCGGTTATATTCTGTCATTAATTTTATGATCTTTCTTCAGACCCTTATTCTCTAATCCTAATCTTCTGGCCATTAACCTTAATTTTTTGTCTTCATTTTCTTTTCCCGGAGCCCGACTCGAGGATTTGGTTCTGATTGGACGTACACAGGTCTTTCAAGATCTCTCCAGACCTAGATGGACCTGGTAAGTCCTAATCAGTTCTGCGACGTACTTTTCCAGAGACCTTTCGAATCCTCAGTTCTTTTCGGTCCTGAGAAGTCCTCCTCGATGCTACCGAGAACGCGCGATTTTACGAGCGGATGAAGGGGAAGGCATGTATGCGGAGGGTTGAAATTTCCAGCCAACGAGGAGACAGGGTTGCAGAATATATTTTAGCCACCCTCATCTCCCCGTTTGCAGGCGGTGTTTAAATAAAAAATAGTGAACGTTGATTCTGTATTTATTGACCCCCTGATGCCAATGAAACCCTCGGAGGTGACAGAAAAGGGGAAAAAAAATTTTTCATTTTCACGTGGGTCAAGGGTGAAAGTCGATTTTCGCCAAAATTGAATTTTTTCGCCAAGTGAAAGTTGATTCTGTATTTTCTAACAATTCTGATGCCAATGAAACCCCCGAAGGCGCGACAAAAGTCGAAATAAAATTTTGTTTTCACCCCGAGCCAAAGAGTCAGATTTTCCGTTTTTCCAGAGAAAAAGTCGATTTTCTGAACGTTGATTTCAACTATTTAAGCGCCGGGCTTGTCAGAACTGTCAAAAGTATGTGGAAAAAGTGAAAACTGAGAAACCGTTTTTTTTGGCCCCAGCCAAAGGGTCAGATTTTCGGGTTTTCCCAGAAGGAAAGTCGATTTTCGCCAAAATTGAACTTTTTAGCCGGGTGAACGTTGATTCCAACTATTTAAGCGACGGGCTATTCAGAACTCTCAAAAGTATGTGAAAAAAGTGTAAACTGAAAAAAAAATGTTTTCACCGGGGGCCACAGGGTCAGATTTTCGGTTTTTACTTGGAACAATGGTCAGATGTGTTAACACTTTCATTTTTTATTTGGATAATACATGCAAGCGTAGGGACAAGAGTGGCTAGAATAGATTCTGCAACCTTCTCCCCTTGTTGGGTAAAAATGTCAAGCCTCGACATACATGCATCTCCTCTCCACCCTCTCGTGAAATGTCGATTTTCGAGATTAAAAAAAAAACAATAATTGTTTTTTTTTATTTCAATAACGCATGATTAAACAGGGATATGAACGCAGATTTAATATAGGCCCATAGAATTACGGGGACCGGCAAGGATTTGGAAAGTCTGAATACAAGTCCTGCTTACACCTAACAAGTGCTGAAATGGGACATAACCAGAGGTAGAAAGATCTCGGAAGCACTTGGAGAGGCACTTGAAGAGGCTTCCCAAGACCTATCCAGTTTTGAACGGAAAGACCTAAGTAGAACTTGTCAGGTCCAATTATTCAACTCGGGAGTTATCTAAGATATGATAAACATGAGAAAATTGACAATTATAACGCAAAGAATATTTTGTGAGGTTGAAGAATCTAAAAAATACCAGATTTTTTTAGCAATTAAATTCACGCGACTCATTGATCCATCATAATCACAAAAATGTCATTTTCTCTCTCTATATAATAATTTTGTAAATTAAGACAATGTAAAAATTTTCAGGGTTTACGAGGCTCAAAATAAGGGTCACGAGGGTCATATGAGGTCTTGTGATGGTCATACGAGAATCATATGTGGTTATCTGAGGGTCATATGGGGGTTAAATGAGGGTCATCTCCTATATAATTCACCAAACATACCCAAGGAGATTGGGGGGAGCGAGCGAAGCGAGCGAAGGGACGAGGCCCCCTAGGGTTGACGAGCGAAGCGAGCAAGGGTCTAAGCCCCCTAATATCGATATGATTTCCTATTGCAAGAAGTTGATTTGGATGTTTAATACACAGAGAGATAACTTTAATGTAATCCTGAACTGAATGCAATAGAAAGCCCCATCAAAACAATAGCTATGCTTCACTTTTTATAATCACCTTTCTCAATTTTAGATTAATACTAGATTAATTTCAATAATGCTGAATAGGATCAGCTAAATCGACATCTAACTCAAGTAAACATCATGTCTTCTAGAAATTTTGATACTCACTTCTCTTGAATTTTCTTCTGCCTGTCTTTGTCCTTCTTCTTGCGTTTGGGTTTCAACGTTGGATCGTACTGTCCCTTCATCTGAAATTTGGCTCGTTGGACGGCAATCGTTTTCCCCCGCATCTGAGAACCATCGAGGACCTTCAGCGCCAAATCAACGGACTCGACCTGGAACAGACAGAATGATTATTAGTCAAGGTTAAGGGATAGAAGTGAGGGAGCATTTAATCGCCCCCTCGAAATCTCTCTCGCTCTCTCTGTCTCTCCAATTTCAACCACTTTTTTTCCGTCATCCTCCGACGAACTCATTCGCACTTGGCCTGGTGCGTCGAGAATAGGTGCCGGGCACTTGGCGACAAAAGTAATTAACGCGTCCTGACTAACAGAAAAAAAAATGCGCTCAATGGTCCGCGCTTCCCTCAGCCTATTGTCTCCGACACGTTTCATTATTCACGGTGGGTACATTTTCGCTTCTCTCCTGTAGTTACGAACAATCGAATTCTTCAAACTGATGAAATTTTTTCCCCATTTTTTGGATCAGGCACGACAGTTTGCGTCAATCATCGACGATTCATCTGAGGGAAAAATTTTGTGGAGAAACGTTGCAATAGGTAATTCTGCTTGATGTCTATTGAATTTTTATTGAAAATTTGATCAACTTTTTGCCGATTCTATTGAAGAATTTCTCTTTACGCGCGTTCAGTCGATAAAAAATGCGCGAAAAAAATATTTTATAGAAAAATCTGTAGAATTTCAGGTTTTTATGGAGCTTTTTCTATTGAAATATTTTATATAGGAGGTCCTCAATATGAATTTTGAAAAAAATTGAACCGAAAAACTTGGATGATGTGAGCGGGAAAATTTCTATAGAAAATTTTTCAATAGAAAAAGTTACAGAAAAAATTTTCAATTTCCATTTTTAATTATTATTTTTTCTAAAATAAGAAAATGTTGAAATTCAAACAAAATTTAAACAATGGGAAAAATAGGAATTGAAAAATTTTCAATTTCCATTATTAATTTTCATTTTTTCTATAAAATATTTTCCATTAAAATTTTTTTCTAAAAAAACGCACAGATGAACTACAGATTTTCCGAATAAAATCGACGAAAAACCAATAGAAAGTTTAATAGAAATCCAATAGAATTTTCTAGCGACTTCGTTATGCTGTTCTATGAATTTTTTTGCGCGCGGAGAGATGCGTTACAGGTTTGCTTGCATTTCTACAATTTGAAATGAATGATTGCCGATGCGAATTTTCTCGGAATACAGCGCGTTGGCATGCCAACATAGACCACTCTACATCGCCCGCGAAACCATAAGAAATATCTCCAGTATTAACTGTTCCTACAACTGTGTCCCGCATGTGTCGTTTCGCTGGATAAACTTGCGCCTCGGTGAGATAAGCGTCAAAGTTTAAGGAAGCCTTGAAAATTCACATTTGTGTTCCCATTGAATTCACAAGAAAGCCAGTGTACTCGAGTTTTATGCGCATGCAGAATGGGAACGTGTACAGAGTGACGAATGACTAAATATGTATACTGTCAGTGGCGCCGGCTACGTGACGCAATTGTGATGGTTCTTCCCGCTGTACCGCAATGCATTCATTACTTTTCATTACTTTTCACCGGCACAACGAGGCTTTATGGCCCTCTAAGTCAACTTCGTTAAATGACGGAGAGAATAGAAATTTATTTGAGAAGATTAAACTGCAAATTTATCATGGGAAAGGCATTAATCAGCTGTGACTTTTTAGGTTACAACTGGGGGGGTCTCGCCCCCTGCTTGCTCCGGTCGCTAACACCCAGCGACTCGTTGCAAAAATTCAATAGCTAAAGCTGTGACTATTCTCTGCGCCAGAAACGAAAGAGGAAACAATCAATCGATGCAAAATATCTTGACATTTATATTGCGACTTTTATGGTTGGGAAGACGAGAGATAAAATGTTTTGCGTTTCAGGAATATGTCATGGGTTTTGAGTAATGTATTATCAATTTTTGAATAATTATTGGTGATATTTGTTGATGAGAATTAGTGATGTCATCCTGAGTATAAAAACTTGCTGCCTTTCTCTTATCTTTCTATTCTAAATCATTTACTGACCCTTAAATTTTGACGCTCAGTTGTCTCTGATCTCTTTACCCTTATTCGTGCATATGTATTCTAATTCTTATCTTAATGTCTCATCAGTTTTTCAAAAATCTCTTTTCACAATAAACTTGGCCAAATTAAAGAATATTGGACAGAATTCAGTAGCGAAGTGGTCAAACGGTTTAAGTCGATTTTGGCTATTGGCCAGATTTCCATTAATATCTCGAAATCTAAGGGAGACAGCAAAATTTTTTTCATAACGTTTTTAGTAGCACTCAATTCGCTCTACAAAAAAGGTTATAATAAAAATTTCGGTATCTCCCTTAAATCCGGAAATATTTTTGACAAACTCAACTGAAGACCAAATTGACTTAAACCGTTTGACCACTTCGCTACTGAATTATCAAGCGATAATTTAAAAAAAGTAATCTTGGACATTTTTCATCCACAAAATAAGTGTTTATGGCCCTCTGAGGCACCTCCATTCAATCCCAAAGACAACGTAAATTCATTTCCAAAGATTAACCGATGAATTTATCATCCCCAAGTTATACCCGGGTATGAGCCCGAACTGCACTTTTCCCCTCTAGTGCGAAAAACTCCTGAATTTATCGGACTTGTTCGGCTTTTGTGAGGCTCCGTGTCGGTTAAAAGCCCACGCTCTGCCACTTTTTCCCGAGGAAACAACGGCGTATCGGAAGGAACAAGAGCTGCGGGAGGGGGGGGGGCGGGAGGGGAAAATGGTGAGAAAAATTGAGACTCATATGGAGAACTGAATGAACCCACGCGCGCCAGACGGCACACCCTCGCTCAAGGATGTGCAACGTCTCGGATTTTTCGCATGAAAAACCCGATTCTCGCCGCTGTGGACTTTTGTTTTCTCAGGCTAGTGGTGGGTACACAGCCGATGTGCGCCCACGCGCCTCGAGAAATGGATTTTATCGGCGTTTCGGATATCAGAGTAAGTGGGGATATGCAAAGAGATGGGGTATTGAGCATGGTTTAGGTGAACAGAGTCAGACGGTTACTGTTGATTCTAATCGGTTATCAGAGAAGGCGATACACAATGACAGAAAAAAATTTAAATTTCATGCACAGCCGAGTGGTATTATTTTCAGGAGAATGACATTGAATGTAATTTCAGTGGTAAAAATTTTCGTCTGAACTTTCCGTGCCAAATGCTGGAATTTTTTATCGTGTTCAAGTTTCACTGAAATTTCAGAAAATCTTGTCATTGAAAAATCAAGGATTTCATTGATTTTCTGTTTAGATTATTGGGAAATCAACAGAAAACTTGATTTTACAGTTAATTTATTTTGTGAAAATTTTGTTTGCCTTTTCCTTTTTTTCCTTAAATCCGATTCAATGCCATTCTCATGAGATTTATTATGATATCTTCCATGAAATTGCAAAAATGTTCTAACAGTAGAGAGGGAAAAATAATGTAATGTTGAATTTCACTGAAAATTCAATAAAATTCCAAATTTTTCCTCAAAGTATTTGAATTTTCAATGCAAACTTGAATATTCAGGGCCAAATTACACTGAATTATTAATTCAGTGAAAATTCTAGGTTATTTTTACCGCAATGTTACTGATTTCTATTAATTTTCAGGGAATAATTAAATTGATATTTACAATTCTCACTGATTTTTCCATCAAATTATGAATTTTTAATTACGAAAATTGCTTGACATTTTAGTGGAATTTAAATGTGATAAAAATATAAAAATGTCGAATAAATAAATAAACACTCCAACATTCAAGCCATTCTCAATTTCCAGGTCTATATGATCCCAGAAAATATTGAAAATTGGCGAACATCCCTCAAAATTTTTCCTGAATTTTTAATCCATTGATGAAAATTCAATTGCATTTTACGATCAATTTTCACAATTGACCTATCAATAACCGCTTAACATAAAGGACCCAACTTTCTAGAATTTTTAAGAACAATGAGACATTTCACGAACGATTTAATTAATAAAAATGTTTTCAATATAATTAAACCCTTTGTTTTTCATCTTAACAAGTTTTATATTATGTATCATATCCGCAACATTTTTTTGTTTTTCATCTTAACAAGTTTTATATTATGTATCATATCCCCAACATTTCTTTGAAAAACGAATAAAAATGAAAAACGAAAATTAAAGAGAAACAACTCAACGAATACTCAAACTACCCTCAAATAAACAGTTTCTCATTGTCATTCTCCGCTTGATCTATACCAAGACAGGATCAGATTCGAGTTGAGCATGATGTCATCCATTAGCATACTTATTTCCCAACTTCACCCATAATTTTAGCGAAAAAGAGAGACTCAGAATCAGTAACGAATCAATTTCCCTCTAACCGTGACTCAATGAATCGCTAAATCAAGTATGAAGCAACGTGGAACTGAGCGTGAATGCGATGAGCTAACTATTGATTCCGCCATGGTGATTGAAAATGCGGGATTATTCTGGAAAAAACACTCCCCATACACTACCACAATAAACCGAGCGGGATTATTTATAACCAGTGCCATAAATGTGTCATTTCTATAACCGTAATACCGCGTAAGAGAACGGTTAGGTCAACATTGAATGGGGGAACAATCTAATTCTCAACTCGCGAGTCTCGGTAACTGTCTATGAACTTGGGAATGTCATGAGAATTTTTATGAGAGGAGTAGTGATATTTTTACTTTATGGAGACGTGTGACGGTCGCTGTGAATTAGACGTAGTTTTCTGTTTGTGTACACAGAAAAGTCTCTAGTTTCCTTGGGAATTTTCTGTTCATGTCGAACAGATTTTCATTCAAGTTCAGGCAACCAAGTTTAATTCAGGATTTTTTGCTTACATCTAGGTCAATTTCTCAAGACAATTCTTAACTTCTTCGTTATTAAAAGTATATCATCTGACAATTTTAGTAAATTGATGGTGAATAAACGTTCAATTAATTCAATTGATGAAAATTAATTAACTGAACTCAACAATAATTAATTAAATAATTGATTATTTAATTGAATTAATTTAATTAATCAAATGAAAATTAATTAATTGAATGAATATTTAATTAATTGTTCAATTA